ATAAGATAAGACTTACTCTTGTCAGTATTTCCACTGAAGTCAGTGAATAAAGCTGGCAGGATGTGACCTAGATTTTACTTTCTAAAAATTTATTTTAAAAATCTCACAGGCATTTTGTGACACACAGCAGCAAATCCAGTGTGGCTATTTTAAGCTGCATCTTTGAATGCAGTACTTTTCATTTTAACCTTGGCTGTGCTGTTATTTTATCAAATTCAACTTCCCTCACAATGAGGCCCTTTCAGGACTGTTTGGCATTTGTCTCGCCAGTGGATGTTTCTTTTTCACTGGAAAAGTTTGCTGTAATGTTTCCTTAGGGATTAGTTTCAATTGAATGAACAGCATGTAACATTTGCTGCCTCACTAGTGCTGCAGCGTGAATTGTATTTTTCAAAATTTGTAAATAGAAATGATTTTTTTTTTTTACAGAAGAACATGGTACTTTAAATGAAAAACAAAACTTCTAAGGTTTCTAAAATGGCCATCACAGCCTCTCTCCTAAGCAGAGTGAGTGGCCTTCTACAGGCAAGTCCCTGTGGTTGCTTTAGCTTCTGAACCATTTGGCACATATCTTGCAGTCCTTCAATAAGCAAATCACCTGTTAAAGTCAGCTTACATTTGCCGTTTTGTAAATCCTTTCAAGCAACCCGCCACCTTCAATAGCAATAACAAGGCAGAAATGTCAGTATGTCAATGGGAGTTTTGGCTGCAAAGGTTAACAACTTTCTACAGAACAAAACCGAACGCCTTTGCCCCGCCCCTTCTCCGAAGCTCCGCCCCACGCAGTCCATCTCCCCTCCCTCCGTCACTCGCTCTCCTCCACCCTCACTCACTCGCTCGCTCATTTCCAACAGGCCAGGGAGGGTCCCTTTTCGCCGGGGAGGGTCCCTTTTCGACTGGGTGTTCTGGTTGAAAATCAGACACCTGGCAACCCTTGGGAATGGGCCTTAAGTTTTAACATGAAGTACCTTCAGTGCAGAACCTCTACAGATGTTAGTTCTCACAAATGCAAAATAACTGCATACCCAAAAATGTGCCTAAATTAAGGCTGTAATTTAATGTCAGGTTTTAGTTGTCCCAACTTGGGAGGCTCTACACTCAACTGGATGGCATTTCTCTGTTTATTTGGATAGAACACGAAAACTTTTGAACACAGCATCGGATCAATTACAAAATTTCAGGGAATATTTTAGTTCTCAATGGCGAGAACTCTATGGATTTTTTAATTCTCTATAGATCAACAATTGATGGCACCCATTAACACCTTCCAGCATAACTATTACCCTCCCCATCACAGTTCTGCCCATCCTCCCAATACTACTTAACATGTTGACACTCTGCATGACATATCTCCCAGACAAATAGAAAAGAAATAATAATGGTGGGGGAAAGTTTGGAGCATGTAGGGAATGTAGGGCACACACAGCGCCTGGCATGGGGGACAAAGGAGGAAGTGGGGGAAAGGAGGGAGGATGGTGCTTGGCCTACAGTTATGAAGTTTGCTCCGCCTAGTGGTGCAAACAAATAATTCAATTACATCAGCAGAAACCACTGATGAAATAACAGTCTCACTATGCACAATTGAGGGTACATTGTTCTTTATAATGGGCCATATCCTGCTCATCATACACCCACAGGCAGTCCTATTGAAATCAATTAAACTGTGAGTAAAGCAAGCCTTCAATAGTTCTCTGCAGGCAACATGGCATTACCACAAACCACCAGTAGGTGTCCTCTAGCAGTAAATCTATTCTTCTATATAGTATTACAATAATATAGCAATGGATATTTTAGATAGAGTAAGCCCTATGGGCTAGATTCTGTAGGAAAGAAAGGAAGAAAAAGAACAAGTGAACATATCCTCTGTTTGACTTTCATACTGGCAAGGCCATGAAATCATCAGGTTTGGGGAGCTTATAGGCTGTGGTATAAAACCAACATTTTCTATTTAACCCAGCCACTGTTTGAGGAAAATCATGTTCAGCTTTTTCACAATGAGTGCTGTAATGTTTCCCTTCCGTTTTTCCAGAGTTAACAGGAAGCAATAAAATGATAGTTAAAAACTTAAAATGGCTCATCTTGATTTTTCCAACAAGCTCTGCTTCTTATGGGGGAAAAGTAATCACAATTTTGCCCTCCAGTTTAAAGCCTGCCACAGCTGAAAGGTTTGCTCCCCCAGCCTTTACTAACACTGCAAACTGCTCATGATCCTAAATGCACAAACACTCGTTCTTGGCTCCCACCCAACATATATAAATACATGCAATTTTTCCTTCAAAGAACCTAGAGGCTAAGCAAGAGGGCAAAGGAGTACGTGACTAAAACATCCTAACTTCCTCTTTCATAAGTCATCACATGATGAAGTACAATTACAATTCCTGCCTTGTCTCTGCGAATCGCAGACGCATTGCCTCACCCTAGAAACCCTGCGCTCCTCTGTGAATGTGTAGGCAGCAATTTCTGCAGCCGGGTTGGAAGGAATCCAATTTCAGTCTGGAGAGAAAGGGCAGTGGGTGGAAGGCAAAAACAAAGATCTGTTTACTTAGTATACATTGATAAAGCTTCTTTAGAAGAAGAAAAAAGTAGCTTTAAAAGAATTTGACACAGTATGAACGGGGAGCTGTTGTGAAGCAGAAAACAAGACGTGTTAACCCTTTTAGTGCCGGAAAAAAATCAGGACGGGAGTGTAGTCCAAAAAATAGCCATTTCATTGACAAGCTAACCTCAGGAAAGTCACTAGGGCTACTATACCAATGAAGTTGCAAATATTAAAGGATGATTAATGGGAAAATAAAAGGAACTCTCTCCTTTTATATGTACATGTATACAGAGAGAGGGAGCGAGAGATCCTACAACTAGACCATGTTTTTGCATTTCGTTTATAGCTGACGGGGCAGCCCCAAAAGGGCAAGGTTTGGTTTGAGTGAATGTGCAAGGCGGTGTTTACATTACTCTTGCTTCACTCGGGAAGGATCTACGGGCGGGGAACTGCTTAACCCTTGAAGGGACAGACTGCATTACCCCGGGGGCAAGTGGCGTGTGTGGGGAACTGCGCTATCACCGGTTGCAACTGGTTCGGGAAGGGGGGGATTGTATTACCCCTAGTTCCACGGTGTGTACGGGGATGTGCGGCGTTGTATCAAAATCCTCGTTGCACTTGCACTGATGTGGGTGGGGGGAAGCGTGTTTTGCATCAACACCGGTTGCACGGCGCGCGCGCGGTGGGGGGAATGACACTGTCAGAAGACGCATTAGCAAGCGGCACCGTTTCTGGAAATCCCCCAGAGCAGAACCATGCGGCGTTTGCATGTAAAAACGCTTCAGTTTGGGGATTAAATGTCCTCCGTGTAATTTTAGAACAGGGTTTTTCATGTGACATAAGCTCAACACAATTGTTTCTCCGAGGGTGGTTTATTTCTCCCTCCCCCGTTCCCCCGCGCTTTTTAAAAAAACCTTTCAAGGCACCTGGCATTTTCAACAGCAGCACGGTAGAAACCTTAGCAAGATTCCATCCCCCTGGCCAAGCCAGTAGGGGAGATCATATAATTTACACTCGCCTTGTCCAACAGAGCCAGCTCATTCCAGTCCAAAGAAGAAAGGTTGGGGGTGGGGTGTGTTGAGAGACAGCGGCCTACGGCGTTTGATTCTCAGGGGGCGGGGGGGAGTGGAGCTCGAAAAGTTGACAGATAAAGAAACTGAGCTTGAGGACGGGGGCGGGGGGAGATCATTTCCCTAGTTTAACTCTGCAGTTGGATGAAAGCATTCGCCAGCAAATAGGGCAAGGACATTATATCCATTTACTTGTTCGCTTTGATGACATCGCACTAATTAGCTCCATAAAAAATATCATGTGTCCATGCTACGTATCTTGTACACGGGCTGCAAATGACAAAACATCAAAAGCCCAGCTGGGTCTGTAATTACAAGACAACCCCATGCCCTCCGCCAGTCGGTTCTGCAGTAACAAATCTCCCAACAGCAACATAGTCTGCAGTGGGAAAATCAGCCTCATGCCAGCCTGTCTCAATTACTGGCGAGCAGTAAGCCCGAGTAACAAAAGCCTGAGCTGGTTCTCAATGCAATGGGAGAGAGTACTACAGTATAGAATGCGGCTCATACACCCATTCCTGTGTACTGTACATGCTGCTCTTCTTGCTACGTTAAGTAAAAGTTAAGCCTGGCAGTGGGAGGGAGCTTTTAGAACCCAGAAATAGCAGCAAGGGAGGCGGTACTTCGTGCTGTGACGGGGCATCGGCGGTGCTGGCTGTAGATTCTCTCTCTGAGTCTGTCCCTGGAATGTGCATTTCGTTTAATAAGGTTTCAAGTGCCAATTGCATAGAGTCACGTCCCTCACTGAGTCTGCGCACAGGGCGCAGCTGCAGCCCTGAAACAAAATGCGGACGTCAGAGGCTAGAGCTCAGCTTCCTCCATCCCTCCCTTTGTAACCTACATAACTCAGCAGCAGCACTGTGGGAATGGTGACCCAAAAGCAAGAGTTTGAGAGAACAGCTTCCACTTTGTTTACTCTGCACAATCACACACACAGCTCTCTCTATATATTTGGACTACTTCTGGGTTGAATGATGACTTCATGTGCAAATGACAGATGAACAGAACAACATCCCTTTCTCTTTTTGACTGGCTGCAATTGTCAGACGAGCTGTTTGGAATTCTTAGTGCGGAAGAAGGAAAAAAAAAATGTCCGCAGGTTGGGGAGGAGAGAGATTGTGTTTCTTTGCTAATCTGCACTAGAAAAGGGATGGTTTATGGCTGCAAATGACAAGGAAATCCAGAATGTCCCATTTCCGAACCAAATGAAACAATTATTTAAAAATCCAGAAGAGTTAAATAGCAATTGTATTTATAATGGTCCCTTGCATTGGTGTAAGGCAATGCAAAAACAATCCTTATACATGTACAAAGAAATTATATTACTTAGCGCTTTCGATCTTCCAGGTGCTGTACACATATTAACTAACCCTCGCAAACCCCTGGGTGTTGGGTATTGTTAACCCCTTTAACAGAGGGGGAGAATTGGGAAAGTTGTGAAGTCAAAGGGATCGGGCCCGGAGTGATTTCCTCAAGGCCACGAAGCGAGCCAGCGTCAGAGGTAAGATTAGAACAAAGGTTAGATTAAATTCCAGCCAAAAATGAACCATCACAAAATTCATCCTGTAAAATATATATTTTTTAAAATCAAGATGGCATCGTTTTTAAAAACATTTTTGTTAAATAGATTTTTTTTTCAGTCCTGCCTGACATAAGTAGCACTTCTCTCCTCAGAGCACTTCACTAACACTAGCCAGGCTGCAAAGAAGATGGGGAAAGGAGCTAAAAGGACTCCACAGACCCCTATTTGCATCCCATTCACATGTGCAAGCCCTTGCCGCTCCCCCACCCTCGGCTGAGCAGGAGGGAGCTGACTATTCTTGCAGCTCTTGTTGTCTTGGGACTCTTGGCAGAAGTTCAAGGAGCAGCACCAGCAGCAGCAGGCGGCCAGAGGAGAGGGCGCCGAGCGCGCAGGCGCTTCGAGGCACTGTCGAAGAATCGAGTCACTGGAGCAGAGCGCACAGGCGGCGGCTGCTGCTGCTGGAGTCCCCGCCCCAGTGCGAGCGCCCGGGCTGCAGTAGTGAGCGAGCGAGCGGGACAGGCGGAGTGAGCAGCGCACTGGAGTAGGCAGCCGAGTGTGCAGCAACTGGGCTATGCGCTTTCCCGCGTCCCAGTGACTCCAGCCGGGAGGCTTCCGCGCCCGGGAGCCGCTTGTTTGCAGGGGGCGGGCAATCGGCGGAAGATCCTGCGGCAGCTGCAAAGCCCGAGCCTGCCCGTTTGGTCTCCGGTTGCTGGAGGAGGAGGACGCGCGGGGGGCGCTCGCTGCCCCTGGGCTGGGACATGTCGTCCGCGGCGGTGGCGGCTGCTTCCCGCAGGCAGTCGTGCTACCTGTGCGACCTGCCCCGCATGCCCTGGGCCATGATCTGGGACTTCACCGAGCCCGTCTGCCGGGGCTGCGTCAACTACGAGGGGGCCGACCGGGTGGAGTTCGTCATCGACACGGCGCGGCAGCTCAAGCGGGCTCACAGCTTCCAGGAGGGCCGGGCCCCGCCGCCGCCCCACGCCAAGCAGCCGCCGCTCAGCGCTAAGGAGATCCTGGTGCAGCAGCAACAGCAGCAGCTGAACCACACGGCCGTGGCGGGCGACGCGGTGCCACGGCCCCCGCCGCAGCCCCTGGAGCGCTACCCGCTGGCGGCCGCCGCTTCCTCCGAGCGGCAGCCGCCCCGCCTGGGAGCCGAGTACGGGGGCAGCCGGCAGGTGAACGGGATCCTGGTGCCCAACGGGTTCCCCAAGCCCGAGGAGCCGCCCGAGCTGAACCGGCAAAGCCCGAACCCCCGGCGGACACACACGGTGCCGCCCACCCTGGTGCCGCTGATGAACGGAGCCTCCCTGCCCGCGCCCATCAGCATCAACAGCCGGGCCGCCGCCGCATCGCTGGCCGCCATCTCCGGGGCGGCCGCCTCCATGCAGGTCTCCGTCTCCCAGCAGCAGCCGCCACCCGGGGAGCTGGGGCACAAGCGGCCCGGCTCGGTGTCCTCCAGCAGCAGCAGCAGCGCCGGCGCGGGCGAGCACGAGAGCAAGGAGAAGCAGCCGCGGGGCTCGGCGGAGGAGCTGGGGGTCGAGGGCAAGGGCCGCGGGGGAGCGGAGCAGGAGTGGCTGGGCAAGCCCAAGACGGTGCGGGACACGCTGCTGGCGCTGCACCAGCACGGGGGCCACGCGGTGCCCTTCGAGAGCAAGTTCAAGAAGGAGCCCGGCATGGCGGGGAGCAGGCTGCTGGGGTACGAGAGCAACGGGGCCGTGGCCAAAGCAGGTGAGGGGGAAAGAGGGTGTCGGCTCCCCCTTAGCAAACCCCGACCTCCTAACTCCACTTCCTGGTGCCTAACGCGGCACCGTTGCTTAGGCGGCAACGTGTTCATGTGCTGAAGCAGCACAACAGAGAGCTATGAGTCAGGGCTGGCTGGTAGACGCTGACAGGGAGAGGGCTTTCCCTCCCTGCGACGGCCTCGCCATAGGAGCTGCAGTGTAGGCACCAGTAACCTTTTAGCCTGCTAGCAGCGCTGCACAGCCCGCCTGCCTGTGTGTTAGAGGTGTGCTTTTGCAGATTGCATGTCTGCAAGTGGTGGGTGAGTGTGCACATGCACAAGTTGTATAGAATATACACACATACTTTGGCTGCGTGCCATGTTATGTGTATGTATTTGCATACGTCATACTGTATAATTGGTATTTGTGTGCAACGCCTTGGCTGTGTATACATCTAAAATGGAAGCCTTTTCAAGCTTGATTTGTGTAACTGTAATCCCCTTATAGCTGCATTAATCTGATTGCTTATTATTATTATTATTATTTATTTTTCCTTACGCATTTCTCCTCCCCATTCCTTTGTATTTCTAGGGGCTCGGGCAGCGAGGAAGAGGAAGCCTTCCCCAGAACCAGAAGGTGAAGCTGGACCCCCTAAGATCAATGGAGAGTCACAACCCTGGTTGCCAACCTCATCAGAGGGGATGAAAATGTCCATGACTGCTACATCGTTCATGTCCCCACCACCACCAACTGCCTCGCCTCATTCCAACCGGACCACACCGCCTGAAGCAGCCCAGAATGGCCAGTCTCCTATGGCTGCGCTCATTTTAGTAGCAGACAATGCAGGGGGCAACCACTCCTCCAAAGATGCCAACCAAGTTCACTCCACCACCAGGAGGAATAGCAACAGCCCACCCTCGCCGTCCTCTATGAACCAAAGAAGGCTGGGTCCAAGCAGGGAGGTTCCAAGTCAGGGGACAAACACTGCTGGGGGATTGGAGCCGGTGCATCCTGCCAGCCTCCCGGACTCGTCTCTAGCAGCCAGTGTTCCCTTGTGCTGCACCCTGTGCCACGAGCGCCTGGAAGACACCCATTTTGTTCAGTGCCCCTCAGTCCCTTCCCACAAGTTCTGCTTCCCTTGCTCCAGACAAAGCATCAAACAGCAAGGAGCTAGTGGCGAGGTGTATTGTCCCAGTGGGGAGAAATGCCCTCTGGTGGGCTCCAATGTCCCTTGGGCTTTCATGCAGGGGGAGATTGCAACCATTCTTGCAGGAGATGTGAAAGTGAAAAAAGAGAGAGACTCGTGACTTTTTCCAGTTCACAACCCAACATCACCTGTAACTGAAACTGCTTGACTTGTGTATATATCTATAAATATATATATATATATCTCCAAGACAAGGGAAATGTAGACTTCATAAAACGTGGCTGTATAATTTTGATTTTTTTGAATACATTGTGTTTCTATATTTTTTTTTGAAGACAAAAGGTATGTACTTAAAGGCATTTCCTCTTTTTGTTATAGCAACTATTTGTTGTGCTTCCTTGGTGACAGTTACTGTTCAATGTAGGCTGTGACTTGCGCTGCTTTTTTTAGAGAGCACTTGGCAAACCAGAAATGCTTCTAGCTGTATTTGTATGCACTTGTTTCTTTTTAAAATGCCAAATACATTTTCTGACATTGTAAAGATCGCCTTACTGTCTGTGATTCCTTATTCTTGGGCCTTGCTCAGAGTCAAGCTGGATGCGTGCAGATTTGATATGAAATGGTAGTGGGGGAAAAGAGATTGGTAGGGTGAAATGGGATGTCACCATTACAGCGGAAAGGCAGGTGAATATTAGAAAGCACAAGTGGTTTCTTTCTGAAACATTGTTCTCTTGTTGCAATGGCAAATTTTTTAGACTGAGTCCAATTCCACTGTTTCTAGAAGGAAGTTGCCTTCATAGTAGGATGTTGAGAGATGTCTGAGAGGTGCTGCTGAGTTAGGGATTTCTGGGTTGTTTGCTTTTTTTTTTTTTCTAAAAGGAAAAGTTGACCACAGTTCAAGTGATTGGTTGTAAGATTACAGAACTGCATGTATTCATTGATTACATAACGTTAATGCAGAATTTTGGTAATAAACTTAATTACTATATTGGTGTATACACCAGTATAGCACTGCCATCTTTAAAGATCCATAGCTCTTTTAGTGCCACTCACATACTATTTATGCTTGGGGAAAACTATTTTTTTTTTTAATTTGCACATAGTGCAGGTGAACTTTGAGTTTGCTTATCAGTTACATATAGTACTGTTGGTATTATTAACTATCTCTTACATCATATTTCCAGGTAGTGGCAGGTACAAGATGGTACAATGACAGAAGCAACTGAGATGCTGCCAGGATTGCCTTCGGGCATATCAGTGACAACCCAAATGTGGGTGGAAGAAACTTGTAATCTCTGTGTTTTTTTTTTTTTTTTTTAAACAAACCTAGTACTACTTTTTTGAAAATGAAAAAATAAACTGGTGGAATGAAAGCAATTAGGGTTTCACAAAGGGGACATGCCTCACCTTTTTAACTGTTTTGGAGTACTCTTTGTAAAGTCATTTCTTTTGATCCAGCTTCTGCATCAATCAGCAAGCAGACTTTTTAAAATAAATCATTACTAGAAATGGCTAAGTCTTATAGTGATGGTTTTTGTGCTGTTTAGTTCATTAGCAACACTGCAAACCCCCTGCTGTTTAGTTGTGTTTAACTTGGTCATAAACAATTGTTCTGAGCAGAAACATGACTACAAGTTCTCATCCCTGGGGCAAATAATATAAATTTTTCAATTTTTTTAGGGGAAAAAAAATCTGTTCAACTAACTTTAACAGTTTGGGATGCTTTTTAATCAAGTGTTATGATAATATTCAGGCTGCTATTTAATGCAGAGTAGAACTTTTTTGGAAGATTTTTTTTAAATGATCATTAATATTTAAAGTTCAGAACTGCACATGCACAGTCATTTTTTTTATTAAGTGTTTCAATGAGCACACAACTAACATTATGTTCCTTATTACAGGTCAATGTAATATTAAATACAGACTTGCATGGTAAACCAATTCATTGAGTCAATATTACGCTTTAAAATTATACCTATAGTTCAGATTGGTGTCTTATGTAAACATGCAGACAAGTTGGAAAAAACGCACATATATACAACTGTAAAGGATACTTTGGAACACTATGGTCTCTGTAAATGTGTATTTAGCACTTTATTAAAAAATGGATTTCAAGCTGATAGATGGTAACAAGTTCTTCAGAGTTGCTTGGCATAATAACTCATAGTATGGAAGTGTGTATGTTTTTGATAAAGTGATATCCCTACTAAAAACTGCATGAAAGGATTGCTCTGCTGTGTTGGCCAACTGTTCAGCTTTGAGCACCTTGAGGTGAGGTGGGAAGGTAACTTTTCCCGCTACTCAAACATATCCTGCTTCCTGGTCTGACTGGCATTTGTGTTGCTCTCCAAGGAGGCCTTTCACTTAACCTTTTATCTGGAGGAAGTGTGCCAATATGTTGCGGCCCATCAGTATCTTTGGACCTGTTCTTTAAAGTAGTTCAAAGGGTGGGAATTCTCAGGCCTTGTTGTTGTACTAGGTGATGGTACATAGACAACACAGGTAGAAAAGAAATGTCAAAAAGTTACTATATCTGCTCTGACTTCTAGTCCCGATATCTCAATTGATTCTAATATACATAATCACATTTCATTTTTACAATAGTGGTTATTTCTTTTATGTATTTGTTGTTTATTTTATTTCAGTTATATTTTTTTTTTTGCATTTCTCAAATTTCAGTTGAACTAAGTGTGTCTTATTTTGTTGCTTGCTGAGTTATGACATCACAATGATCACTTTATTCACTAAACCAATTTACTGTTTCCTTGGCTACAAAGGTGTTTTTTTTTTTTTTAAAAAGTGCTTTAGCTACAACAGTGCTTCTGTTAATCTTTTAAAACTTTTTAAAAGGTGATAGTTTGTGTAGTAATAAAGTGTTTTAATGAAGAATGTGTGATTCTCAAATCTCACTTTAATTACTCTTTTTAAAGGTTTTACTTTTTACTGGAACATCACCTGCATTATGCTTTGGTTGTTTATAACTGCTAAACTAACACATTACTATTTTTACCTATTTTTTATCTTTGGCATTAAATAAAATATTAGGAGCTTTATGCACTTCCTGTGAGTGGTTTTTTTTTTTTTAATTAAAAAAATATAAATAAACTGAAAGGCACTGAAGTGCAATGATGTAGTGGCAAAATCAACAGGATTTTTTAAAAATATGGCTTTTTGTCCTTAGTCGCATATAGGGCAGTAAAAAGTAGGGACAAGCGAGCTGAAACATGGAAAGGGCAGAACGAATTGTCAATGGGGAAAATGAAATTCCTCCCTCCAAGAAGAGTAGAGGGCAAAAGGGTAAAAGCCCTCTCTTTTAATCCTTGGTTTTTACATTATGGTGCAGTATCGTCTATCAGAGCCCCTAGTGGGTGGGAAAGTAACGTGGCATAAGGGAGACTAAGTGGCCTTTGTGGTGGCCTCAGAAAACCTGGAATGTTTTTGGAGCTGTTTTCTTTTTAAAGAGACATGCTGTAAACCAGGCCCTGGCAACCATGTGTTTTATGAACTAGCACTTATGAAAAGGGTATAAATACATTTGAGTGTGCTCTCTAGTGGTTTATTATGTCAACAGAACCCCTGGATCCTTTCCTTCTGCACTTGGGCCAAATCCCACTTGCCCTGCTTACAGGGATAACAACAATGTCCCACTGATTTCAGTGGAACTTCTCTTGCCAGGAAGGAGAGCAGGACTGGCCATTTGTCTTTATTGTAGGTTGGTTGGAATCCTTTTTTTAAAAAGTCCAGACCATGAGGATGGCAAACACTATATTAACTATCACTTGGCATTTTAATCAGGCCATGGATTGCAGCAATAGTTAAGGTGCTTGTAGCATATTCTGTAGTAACACTTGCAGTGTTGTGCAGTAAAACGTAAGCTACCATGGAAGAATGTAAATAAAGTGTCCTTATTAAAATAAAAAAAGTGGAAGGAATACATTGATACTTCACAAATTAACCACTTTTAAAAGTAAATCTTTTGATTGTGTCAAATATTTACATTTAGGGTCCTAAATCCTGCACTTAAAGATAAAACTTGTTACTTCTGTCAAAGTTTAGCCAGAGTAAGGAGTGGTAAATGGAGTGCTGGGCATTCAGGATGAAGGGTTTATTTTAGAAGATGCAACCTGAAGGTTGCAAAAGCAGTTTTTCTTATCCATTATCTGTGACAGCAGCTCTAAATAAAACTCTTCCTGATTACATTTTACTATTACATTCATTCTAACCATAAATTAAAGCAGTGTGTTGGATTTGTTTAAAAAAAAAAAAAAAAAAAAATCTAGACTGACATTAATAGACAAGCCAAAGCTGTTTTTTCACACTTCTTGTTTCATATTATCAATGTGGCAGATCCCAAAGAAAGTGCCTCAGGACCATTTATATATTTATTTTATTTGGTTAGTAACGCATAAAAGGTTTCTCTTTCTGATTCCTAAGACTAGAAGTGGGATCATTCAGAAAATGTTCAATCACATGGACACTATAGAAGGCCTGAGTCATTTGCTTGCCTTTTGTTCAGTCGGAGAGATTGAGAAGACACGCCTTTCCTCTGTTACAGAGCAAGGTCAGGCTGTGCTAACAGATGAATGGAATATATATTTACCCATTTCATCATTCCAGGCTTTCTGGAGCTAGGGCGCCAGGATTAACTCATTCCCTGCCTTTTCCAGACTACTGGGAGATGCACTCTGTACAAATTCAGCATTAAGGCTACAGTTTAACTGTTAATCATATCTTTTTCACGCAAATGAAGTTGAGCTGAAATTTTATGAAAATGTTTGCTTTTTAAAAGGAAGAGAAATGAGGGCATGCAGCCCTAGTATTTTAAGAAGATCCTAAATACACTTCAGAAAATCATTTCTACAAAACTTGCATAAGCTGGTCTGCATGGCTGGAGTGAGAACATAAAGTACAACATCCATTGTTCCAATAACTGAGGTTAGATAGTCTAGATGTGCGTTGTCTATCTTAACTCCTCTCTCTGCAGTTGAAGAACAGTTTTTACTGAGTTAGCTTCGGAAGATTTATCCCAGTAGAACAGTCAAAGTCCCCTATGGAGAAGAATCATGATACCAGATGAGTTCATAGAAAAGCTGTAAGATGTGTTCATATTATCACAATTTAACGCTTGCAATCTTGCTTCTACCATTCATGAACTGTAGAAGTTTATTATCCTTAACACATAATAACATTGCAAAATAGTAAGATTAATAATTTGTACTTAAACACAACATACTTTTAGTATGATGAGAAATCATCAAAATCATACAGAAAAATACAATATTACAGTGTCTGCTAGTTGGAACAGGGCTACAGTATCTTGTCTCAGATATTTAATTGTGTGTGTTACCAAACTGCTGTAGATAACTTTGTACCCTGGTGAATGGCAAGTGCCTTGGAGTTACATAATGGAAATAAATGGGGGGTGGGGGAGGAGAGGACAGTGTGCAGTGGTGTTTACTTACCAGTGCTGAGTATTTTCATACATGTGGTGGAACAAGACAGGATCAAAGGCAAACAGAAAAAACTAGGGAGGATTTGCTGCACTGACATGGGAAAACTGGGCCCTAAAAGGAATCCCAGCTACTTCCCTCGATAACACAGTTTCTGTTTAAAATCCCAGGGCTAGGTTCTGTTCTCATTTACAGACAGAAAATGCCATGGTCTTTAATGAGATTGCTTCAGTTACTCCAGACCGCATTTGGCTCTTTGCTCTTTACATGGCTCATGCCTCTCAAATTTAAATCTTTTAGCACCAATATTATAGGACTTCTATGAGGGGGGAGGTTCCACAGTTCCTCAAAAGCAGGCTGTTGATGGTTTTACTCTTTTCCCTGCATAATTTCCAGTTTCTGCTGTGCACTGGAAGCAATTACTTTAGAGGCAGAGTGTATGTGGATGGGAGTGGTGGGTGCATAGGCTTGGCATAAAAAGGCTGTGCCCTGGAGGCAGCTTGGAGCCTTTCTATTTACTGTAGGCAGCAGCAGGAGCCTCAAAAGGCCCTACGAGACAAAGGTGAGCTGCTTAGAGACAGATGGGGGAAGAGGAAAGCAGCTGCCCTTTGATCATGGACCTACCCACTGGTGTTCTTCATCCACCCTGGATTTCCCCTGTAAGCATCTCGGTAATTCTGTTAATTGTTCCTGATGCCTCTTTGACCCAGATTCATTGCACAATCCAAGGTACTAAAATGTAACTCTGCCTTGCCTAACTTTCAGGTCTTGTTTGGGTGTCTGTTTGAAGGGGAGGGAAATAAGGGTGTAATGGGAGGCTGTACCTTGTTTAATCATCGCACTGGTTACATCCTTCACTTTGGTT